GTCTGTCGTTTCTGTGGACTAGTCCTCTGGCCAGGTCAGCTCTCAGACCAGACCGCTTCTGGGGTCAACATAAATAATAAGTCTCAACTCAAAATAGCCACCTGGGCATTAAAATCCATAAAATAAATTCTAGTCCTTCACAGAGATTCAAGGCCAATGTTGTCAAGGTGAGGCTCCTGACTGGGCAAGGTCTACCTGAGTTAGTGCAGCGAGAATGTTCCTTCCCTTTCCTGGCTTAACTCAGAATACATCCCTAGTAGAAGCAGTCAGCCCTTTATATCTCACATGCTGGGCTCTAATTGGCTTCTGCCTACTCCTGGCCCTTCTAGGTACCACAGGACCAACTCTGGTTCTGCCTGTAGCTGATCATGGGAGGCCTCTCTAGGCATCCCCTGGAGATATGAACTCCCTGCTCTTCCCTACCAGCAGAACACCTTCTTAGGGTGGGATGTGCCAAGGAGATGGGGCCTCTGGCAGCAAGTAGTGAATGTCTAGTACACTCTGTCATCGGGAGGTTAGACACTTTTCTGTCTAGCGTACATGTATACTACACCAGAGAAAATGGTCAGCAATGGAAAAGTTATTGTGACTTGCAATGGATGGGATGTGCTATGTTCTGCTTCCTGCCAGAAGATAATTCCTGTGCATGAAGTGCAAGTTAATGGATAAAATGGAAGAAAAGATTCATGTTCTTGAAGAACTATAGAGCCTGCACTGCATCAGAGAGGCAGAAAAGTTCTTGGACAACTGAATTATGCATCGCTAATTCAGCAAGGAAAGGAACAGGATGTGAGGGAGCAGGACAGAACAGAAACTGGGCAGTTCATGGCCACTTGAGGAAAAAGCAAAAGGAAGCATTCAACATGACCAGAAGCAGAAGATGGGCAGTCTGTGACCATGCAAGGAAAGAGAAATAGGAGGCATTCTACTCATCTAGACATATCCCATCACTATCAGGTACTCAGCATGGCAGCTGCAGATATGTCTCTGAAGATTTAGCCAGAGGAAAGGAACAGGAGTCTGCATGGGCCACACTTGAGGATGGACATTCAGCCCAATCGACGAGGATGCCAAGCATGCCCAGGAGAAGATTTCTGACTGTCCAAAGAAGACAGACAATTCTCAATGGAGGCATGACATTAAGAAGAAGGGACAGAACCTTCTGCAAGTGACAAAAGGATGGTGTGCTGTCTTCCTGTAGTGAAGACAAGATAAGCAAGATTGGATGGGATCCAGAAGACAGTGGGCAAGGCTCCACCTGCTTATGTTATATATTGGTATGAATGAGAACTTCAAATGACACTTTGCAGATCTTCAAAGACCTCAGGGATCTCGCAAGGGAGCTGAAGGAGAGGAAAGTCCAGGTGCTCTTCTCTGTGATTCTTCCCGTTACAGAGCAAAATAAGACAGACAGACGATACTGGAGTGAACTGTTGACTAGGTAAGTGGCTAGGTAAAAGTAGAGGATTTTATATATATGGAACTTTGGGTCGCCTTTTATGGGGAGAGGACAACATGTGTGTCACAGATCTGGTCGAGCTCACGCTGCTGGCAGCCCACCAGACAGCTGTGCGGGGATCTGGATCCCCATGTGTTTTAAATCTCTAGAGTCTGAACAGAGCCCAGGCACTATCCCAGTCTTGAGGCCCCTAGGCACACACTCAGAGTGAAGATTCTCTGTCTAACACTCCCACCTGAGAGTTGCAAGCACAGGATCCAGCTGCCCAGCCCCTGGAACCAGCACTAACACCTCAGATTCCGCCTGCAGCTTAAGCACAGCCTCTGCCAGAATTCCACTAAATGTGTGAGCCTGCTGGGTTACAGTTTAAGTCTCTTCGGAGCCATGTGGTAGATGTAGCCCAAAACACAAACACACTTTGCACAGACATTTAACACATCATTGTGTTTTATTTACTCACCTGAGAAATACAAAGACCCCCACAAAAATAATAAACCCTACATGCAGTTCCCTCTCTCTAGCTCACTCTTCCTTTGGGGGACCATCTGAGTTCAGGTTACCAGCCCTTCTGCCCCCTTACCTCATCCAGCTCTTGCAGCAGCTTCCCTCATCTTAAGCTGATAAAAATAACCAGAGAGAGAGAGAGCCAGTAGAGCAGCTTTTGCCCTTTATAACCTTGCAGTCTCCTCTGTCAGGTGACTCCATTTAGCTTCAACAAGTGATCCCAGACTCTTACCAGTTGACTTCATTGCTAGGCGATGGTCCCCTGATAAACCAGTTCTCCTGGGTGGGAGCCAGTCTTTTGTCTAGAGTTCAATATGTCTCCACTTAAGTCAATATACCTCCTTTGTTAACCTTTTGGAATTCTAGGCCAACATGGAGGCAACAGCACCACAAAAAGGTAAAGAACCCCATATCCAAAATGGAGTTTGCAGCTTGGTAAACATACATATATAGAATTCATAATCTCACACACAATTCATAAATTGTGCAGTCTTATTCCCCAAATCACCACAGTATGGTTTGGATTTAGTAGATGGGGAACCAAGGATGATAGATTATTCAGGAGAGCATTCAACTAGCAACAAAAGAGAAGAGTATTAAGGGGGAAGCAAAATGCAAATACAAAAACACATAACTCAGACTCGAGGTATCGTGAATGTAAAGGATCAAGGTGTCAGGGATAAAGAGAAGAAATTCTTTAACTGTCTACATATCTATGCTAGAAGCCTGGGAAATAAACAACAGGAATTAGAAATACTCATTTTTTAAAATAAATTTGACACAAATAGAAATCTGGTGGGATGAGTCATATGACTGGAATGTTACAATCACTGGATACACCTTATTGGGAAAAACAGAGCATGCAGGAGGGAGGGCAATGTCACTGTACATCAAAGATACTAATAGCAGCTTTTGAGTAATTCACAGTTCTGAACTGCAGGACCTGGAATGCTTCTGGCTCAGAGTTCCAAATGATAAAGCATAAAATCAGCTAAACATCTGTTTTAGACACCAAATCAGACTAGACAACAGGATGAACAGCTCTTTAAACATCTATTTTTACTGTGTAGAAAGAAAAACTGAATTATCATGGGGGCTTTCAATCTGAGGGACATATGGTGGAGGATTCATGCTACCACTTGTGATATGTCCTTGGAGCTTCTAACAATCAGTGCTTTAAAAGGCCCAATTTTCCAAAGTTGAAAACAATTATGAACAAAACTGACTGGGAGGAGAAATTCAGACAAAACAATGTGAATTATAATTTGGAGTTGTTTAAGAAAACTATCAGATACACCAAAAAGCCCACAATTTGACAATTACAAAAGAAGACTTTTTTGATTTAAAATGATTGTAAAAAGCCATCATAGATAAGAAGGGGAATGAATGCAGTAATAAAATTCTATCAATCAAACAAATGGAAAAGGGGGAAGTTGACAGCAATGACTATAAATTAGCAGTTATGAAATGCAAACAATTTGATAAGGGAAGCTAAAGATATCAGTGAAAAACTCCATGGCCACTAGGGTTAAGGACAATACAAAGGAATTTTAAAAAGATATCAGGAACAAAATCAGGAAATCCTAGCAATGGTATAGCTCTATTACTAGATAAAGATAGTAAAATTGTCAATGCTGATGCAGAAAATGGAGAAGTGTTCAATAAATATTTCTGATCTGAATTTGAAAAGAAGCTGGATGACATATTCACATCCTACAGTGATAATGAAACATGTTTTATGTCAACAGTAACTAGGCAGAACGTTAAACAGCAGCTACTAAAGTTAAACATTGTAAATCTGCAGAATGGGATAGTTGTACCCAAAAGTTTAAGAAGAATTGGCTAAGGAAATCTCAGAGCCGTTGATGTTTAACAAATCCTGGAACACTGGGAAAGTTTCAGAGAAATGGAGAAAAGATAATGTGCCAATATTTAAAAAAGGTAAATGGGATAATCTAGGTAATGATAGGATGGTTAGCCTCACATTGATCTTGGGCAAGTTCCTGGGAAAGCCTTCAGGAAAATATTAAAGGATAGCAACAAAATTAATGCAAACCAATATAGTTTTATAGAACATAGATCTTGTCAAGCAAACTTTATATTGTCTTTTGATGAGATTTCACAAAATATTGATGAACCCTTATATATATATATGGGCCAATTCTGAGAGGAGACCCTTCCAATATCTAATACATAGTAATGGGCAATTACACTCAACTATGAAAATCTGCTGCCTACCCATACAATCATAATGCATGTGCACACGCACGCACACACACAGAATTTCAATCAACCTGGCAAACAGGGAAGGAAAAGCAGTAAGCCCTGAGTCTCAAGGAAGTGAACATTATGAGAACCAGAAAATTCCCCAAGTATGATTTTTGAGTTAGGAGCTAACAGGAAGAGACACTGACTGGATATATCAATTTTGAAGAAAAACTGAGTTTTCCTTAAGAAGAAATGGCTGTTTGTAAAAAGAAAGACTGTTGCAAAACAACATCTGAGATCACTGATTCAGTGTCCTCCAGGGTATTCCTATACCATACTGGCAATAAAAGAACTGCTATGGAAGACACTGGTTCTCCTGTTGGGGAAGCGTGCAGCATGCCTTACTAGAGCCAATGGCTTGCAACTCTAGAAGTATCAGAGTTCTCCACTCTCAGATTGGCACAGACACAGAAGTGAAGAACTGTCACAGCATGTACCAGTGGGATATTGCATTTTGTTGCATTACTGGGGCAGCATAATGTGAAACAGTGTTAAATATATACACCACTAAAACACTACATGCCAAATTAATCCCTGATGTAAAGTCATAGTCTATGGTGCAAGATGAATTTGGCTCTAGATGCATTATGCTGTGCTCAGAAAGAGTCTGTATGAATATATTTCTATGGACAGTTTGTTCGGTTTATTAAAAGGAATAGCGCAGAAGATTGTTTCATCACAAGACTGATCTAATAAAAGCCTCTTCTTGACTCTTGCTATGCTTAAATGATCAAACTTTTGTAAAGAACATGTGACTGTATTTCTTTACCTGTTCTTTGACTGGAGTGTTGACATTCGATAGGCACTGCTGGCAGACAGCCAGAAAGGATTTCACAGTTTTCCTCAATACCAACAAGTCCTCCTGAATAAACATTAAAAAAGGATAATGTTCTTTAAATATTAGAGCACAAAAACATAAAATCATGAGAATGGCCACACTGGGTCAGACCAATGGTCCATCAGTATCCTGTCTTCTGATAGTGGCTGGTGCCAGATACTTCAGAGGGAATGAATGGAACAGGGCAATTAGTGAGTGATCCATCCCCTGTCATCAAGTCCCAGCTTCTGGCAATGAGAGGTTTAGGGACACCCTGCTACCTATTAATTATATTAGGTGACCCCTGGGTCCTTGTGTTATGTGAAGGAGTAAATAACATTTCCTTATTCACTTTCTCCACGCCAGTCATGATTTTATAGCCCTTTATCATACCCACCTCAGTCATCTCTTTTCTAAGATGAACAGTCCCAGTCTTGTTAATGTCTCCTCATATGGAAGCTGTTCCACACCCCTATTAATTTTTGTTGCCCTTCTCTATACTTTTTTCAATTCTAATATAATTTTTTTGCGATGGGGTGACCAGAACTGCATGAAGTATTCCAGGTGTGGATGTCCCATGGATTTATATAGTTGCATTATGGTATTTTTCTGTTTTATTAACTATTCCTTTCCTAGTGTTTGCTAACATTCAGGCTTCCTGCCCCTGATTATTTAAAAAAACTTTTTGCATTAGTTTTTGGGTCTTTTGGTAGTTGCCCTTCAAATTCCTTTTTGGATTGCCTAATTATATTTTTACACTTGACTTGCCAGAATTTATACTCCTTTCTATTTTCCTCACTGGCATTTGACTTCCAATTTTTAAAGGATGTCTTTTTGCTTCTAACCACCTCTTTTCCTCCTGTTTAGCGATGGTGGAATTTTTCTGGTCCTCTTACTGTTTCTTTTATTTGCAATATTTAATTTGAACCTCTATTGTGGTGTTTTTAAATAATTTCCATGCAGCTTGCAGGCATTTCACTCCTTTGAGTGTTCCTTTTAATTTCCATTTAAACTAGCTTCCCAATTTTTGTGTAGTTCCTGTTTTTGAAACTAAATGCTATTATGGTGGTTTTCTTTGGTATTTCCCCCTATTTATTAATAATATATTAAGCCCGGATTCCCAATCTATTAAAAATAGATTACCAGGACAAGCAAAATAAAAGAGGTGACAAATAATTTCACACACATTCAAGCCTACAGCTCTCCAAGCAAAAATGGAGAGGCAATGAAAAGAAAAACAAGGAGCTCTCTGGAGAGGCACTGTCTGTGTTTCACCTAGCACAATTGGCACTTTGCAAAGGGGTCTAGGTACCACTCTGATAATAAACAATAGTAAGAATATACTATCATCACACCCAAGATATTTTTAAAATACAGATACCAGTTACAATTCCTTGAATTTTAAATTTGGATTTGAATTTTAAAAGTTTTCAAACAAAAATTTAAGACAACAAAGTAAACCTACATGGTATTTATCTAGACCTCAGTACCAGGATAATTCAACATGAAAAGAAAACTCTGTTGAACATCAATAAACATGCATCAAGTCCAACAACATCACAAGGTCCTAATAATCTGCAGAGAGGGGAGCTAGAAAAGCAAGCTTGCTTTGTAGAAAAACCTGCTGACGTACTGGCCTGGGAACAGGAAGTAATGACTTGGGGACCAGAGGGAGAGAGGTTTGACGGACTGGAGAAAGGAGGATTCATTGGGAATAAATGGTGCATTGGGAAGTGTGTGGGTAACTGATGGATCTGGGGGACATCTGATGGAATTATAGATTTGGGTGATGGGGAAAATGGTTACCTACCTTTCCATAACTGTTGGTCTTCAAGATATGTGTTGCATATGTCCATTCCATTGTAGGTGTGTGCATACCTCATGCACAGTTGTCACAGGGTTTTCACTCAGCAGTACGTGTCAGGGCAGCATGAGCGCCCCCTGCCTTGCGCCAGTGCATGTAGTTATAAAGGGCCCCATTGCCCCCAACCCTCCTCAGTTCCTTCCTCCTGGAGAGACTTCAATGGAGAGGGGAAAGAGGGTGGATGGTGGAATGGACATGTGCAACACTCCCTGAACAACAGTATTTATGGAAAGTAAGGTATCTGTTTTTAATTCTTCAAAAGTGATGCACATGTCCATTCCACTTTAGGTGACATACAGTTCGAAATGGAGGTGGGTTTGGCAACTACTTGAACAGGGATTGTAGGACCACCAGTTCATACCTGGCATCATCTCTAGACTGAGGAACGATGGCATAGCGGGAAGTAAATGTGTGGATCAAAGACCAGGTTGCCACCTTACAAATGTACAGGATGGACATCTGGGCCAGAAAGCCAGCAGAAGCTGCCTGCGATTTAGTTGAACGAGCCACCACTTTTGATGGAGGTTCTGTACCCGCCAAATGATAGCATAGATGAATACAGCCTGTAATCCAGAAGGAAATTCTTTGAGTAGACACTGAGTGGCACTTTATTCTGTCTGAAATTGCCATGAATAACTACAAGGCTGATCTGAATGGTTTAGTCTGATCCAGATAAAAGTCCAAAGCCCTTCTAAGATCAAGAGAATGCAGTTTCTCTTCACATCTACTTGAATGACGCTTTGGGACAAAGGTTGGTAAATTAATTTCTTGATTAATGTGAAAACCAGAAATCCACGTAGTCAGGAACTTAAGGTGAGGCCGAAGGAAGACTTTATCATTGAAGAAAACTGTGTAGGAAGGTTCTGACACAGCTCTCCTACTCTCCTGGCCAAGGTAATTGAGACCAAGAAAGCCACTTCCATAGATAGATGTAATAGGGAACAAGTCGCCATCAACTTTGTTAGAATGAAATTCAAACTCCACTATGGAACAAGGCTGTGAACCTGTGGGTATAATCGGTCTAAACCCTTTAGAAATCTAACGGACAACAGTTAGAAAAGACTGATCTGTTATTCACTAGAGAGTGGAAAGCTGAGATAGCCACCAAGTGAATTTTGATGGAACTACTGAAAAGCCCCGGTTGTTTCAGGAACAGGACATAGTCTAGGATATGAGGAATCCAAGCTTGTGCTGGGCGGATATCTCTTTGTATAGACTGAATGGAGAATCTCTTCCATTTTGCAAGGTAAGTAGACCTGTAGACTGGGATAGAGAAGGTGGCTGTTGTCCTGGGAGATCATGTCCACATCTCTTGGGAGCAGCATAGAGGTTTTGACCGATATCAGTAGTAGAGATTAAAACCAATGTTGGTGAAGCCATGCTGGGGCTATTAGTATGATGTGAGCTCCATCTTGTTTGATCTTGGACAAGACCTTTGGCAGGAACAGAACTGGAGGGAAGACATACAGCAGGCTTTTTGACCAATTCAGAAGGAAAACAGCCTGGGGTCACTGTCAGATGTTACCCCCACAAGAAACAAAAAAGATGACATTTCTTGTTTTCTTTCACTGCAAATAAGTCCACTCAGGGAGTACCCCACCATTGGAAAATAGTGTTGGACACATCTGGCTGAAGGGAGTGGACTGCAAACAATCTGCTCAGGAGGTCTACCAGGGTGTTTTGAACCCCTGGAAGGAAGGCTGCTTTGCGGCTGATGGACCTGGCTATGCAAAAGTTGCAAAATGAGATTGCCTCTTGACATAACTTTGTCAAATGGGCTTCCCTGCTGCCTGTTTACATAAAATGTATATGTTGTGTTGTCTGTGAGTAATGACAGACTCTGTGGGAGGAATGCCATAGAAGCCAAAAGGACTGCTCAGAGTTCTTTGATATTTATATGGAGAGCGAGATCCTGGAACAACCAAACCCCATGAGTCTGAAGAGGGCCTAAGTGAGCTCCCCAAACTAGATCCGATGCATCTGTGACTAAAGTAAGTGTCCACTGAGGAGCAAAGGGAACTTCTCTGTAGAGAGGCGAATCTGTGCCCCTCTTCCTTCTGCCCCTGATGACCTTACAAACCAGTCAGGGATGCTTCAGGTTGATGCAATCACCAGTGCACTTTATTTGTAGCCATTTCCCACCACCACCTTACTATCTATATACAGGTTTGTTTCACAGCCAGGCTTTACAAGCAGCAGACCAGGGCCACCCGCCCCATTCTGCCTCTGGCCTTTCCCTTTCTCCCCCTCCCCAGCCCTTTTATAGCCCCTGGCTAATTAGGCTGGCAGCTGTTGCTAGTTGCCAGACAGGCACAGGCCTATTCAGCCAGCTCCAATCTACTCCCCTTAATTGGGGCTGGCATGGCAGGGGGCTGATTAAGCACTCCTTACCCAGCACCCTGTTACACACCTCCCGCATTAGGTAACCGCTAGGTTTGTTCTACCCTGTCCTCTCCTCCCTCTACCGCTGGGGTCACTTCGGGGGAGTCTCGCTTCCTATTGGGCGATCCCCAGGGTTGTCTATGCGGCATTTGTTCATCCCCCACCCGCAGACCGTACACTGTGTAGGGGGTGGATGGCTCCACAGCACTGCTGCCACCCACAGGTCGTCCACACCAATTGCACTCCCAGGTTTGGACTCCCTGCTTCTCCCCCTTTCCCTGCGGCAGGGGATTGGGGTCAGTCCAAATTTCCCCCAGGACACCCAGGGCCTCAGGTTCTTCTAACCTGTCCAGTGGGACTGGGGTCCCTTTGCCTGGGGGCTGCATTTTGGGGCACTCTTTTGGACTCCTTTCCTCTACTTCCTTTTCTTCCCGATTTGGGCTCTGTTGTCTATGGTTCTTCTCCATTCCTCCCCGAGAACTTTGGTCCTCCCCCTTACTTGGGTTGGTTAGCGTAGGGAGCTCCACTCCCTTCCTTGGGGTTCCTCTCTTTTTCCCTACTGCGGGTCATCTCCCACCTCCTCCTTTCCCTTTTGGGAAGGGGTCCCAGTCCATGCCCAATACCACCGGGTACGGTAACCCCTCCACTACCCTGACCCTTTTCCAGCAAAACCTGCCCCAGGCTTCCAGGGGCACATAGGCCATCGGGCAGTGCTTCCTATCCCTGTGGACGTCCTCGAGTTTCATCCTCGCCCCAGGGATGAGCCAGTGTGGCTTTACCAGCCCCCTCTCGATGAGCG